CGCCTCTTGAGAGTGATTGGAAATCTTAAGCATTTACTTTCTGGCACCAACTATTCGGTAAAACCACAACCACATGGGAAGGCCTTACGGCCACTACTATCCATAACCCGACCATCAGGTACTTGCACCGTATTTTAACTAACAACTAACACACTTTTTAGCCGGGAAAACACTGCAATTGTAAATTCTAAAGAACGTTTCCTTATCCAGTGTCCCTTGTTAGAGAAAAGGTTAACCCAACACCATTTTTGTTATCCCATTTTTAGTCCGTTAAGGATAGAGTTGGACGTCCTATTTGTGTTGGAGGGTTGATCACAACTATAGCTCTTGCGTTAAACTTAAGTTCTAATTTAGACGCACTTCGACCTCTCGAAACAACATTTGCGGATTTAACTTATTGCCATCACATGCGCATGTATAAGAACAAACCTGATGGAAAATACTAACTTATGGTTAATAGTCGATAGGTTGACATCACTTTGCCTTCTGTTGAACGCACAAATGTGCGAGATAGAGCTAATTGGCTCTATGATATTACCACCTTCGCTTATGCCACTAATGTTAGATTTGATCCCATGGAGCAAGATTCTCCTAGTCCTAGTACCCGTACACACACAACACATGCTTTTACTGACTCTTTTGCAGGTACCTCAGTCGGTCAGCAGTCCCAGGTGAAGTATGACTACACCGCTATGAGAACAGCCCTTGATGACATCCTGATCGAGCAGTGGCATCAGAATTATATTGATGCAGAGCGTGATGTGATACTTAGGAGTATCCAGAGTCAGTAGGCGGAGATACTGGTCACCATTGATGAGATTCGAGGCCACCAGCTCGACTATACCAACAGAAATGAACATAATATGGGTGACCTTCTTGAGGAAATTGAGGGTTTGCGCTTGACTATGGAAGATTTGGCTGAGCTTATGCGCCATGTCCCTAATCCTAGAGGAGGTGGCGATGATCGTGGACGACAAAGAGACCATAGCCGTTATTACTGAGCTCTCTACTAGGTTCTACCTACTCCTTCTTTCTCCTTGCACTGAAACATTGGGGACAATGTTTGGTTCAAGTGTGGGGGGAGGCGCTTTACCGCTTTATTTTCATTTTGTTCAGTCTTTTATGTTTTCCGTTATTTTGTTTTTATTTTTCGAGTCATATGCACAGTTGAGTCTTATTATATGTCACTTTTTCTTTTCGTTTGAAAATTCCCTTAGTTTCTACCCCAATTAAAAAAAATTGCTCTGATTCAATGGCATGACACTCTGATTGCATAGGTTATTTTTAGGCTTTATTATTCAGACTTGGGAAAGTTTTTTTAATATCGATACCATCCTAACACCCTTGACTCCCTAAATACGAAATATTGATTTGAATATTTACTATGCCTAGACCAGTTCTTTAAGCCTTTAAAGTAACCTCTTGAGTAGTTTATACTAGCAGTCAGCACCATCTAAACACAAACTACGTAGGAAACCGATAAAAATAAGTGGATGATCCTAAAATGAATTAATTGTAAATGCCTGTTGTTAGTCATTCCATTAGTTTCTGGTATTGGAATTGGTAGGGCGGGTTACGGTCTGATCCCCCGTGACTACAACTCGGATGCATAAAGAGGGTTATACCACATAATTACCAGAACCCCAAGTAAAATCAAATAAAAAGAAATTTCCCCTTGTAATTGGTACATTGGTTTCTGGTATTGGACTTGGTAGGGCGGACTACGGTCTGATCCCCCACAATTGCACTAGGTTATAAAGGGGTGTGTTGCATTTTGCTACCAGAACCCTATGCTAAGTTGATCATAATCACTAACAGATTTTTCTACTATGTGCGTGCAAGGATAATGAGCTTAATCTGATTGCGCTAAAATGAAAAATAGAAGAAAAAGAACAAAAGCTTGTAGGTCGAGTCATAATGATGTGATTCGGATTGGTATTGCATAGGGGGAGTCTTTGACCACAAATATGGATTTGTGTCACTACGACGTCCTTGTTTTCAATTTCAAGTACCTATCCACTTAGCTATAGCTTAGCACTTCTCCTGCCTTCTTTGAGTTTCTTCATGCTTATATTTTAGAGAGTGCGCTTATCCTTTTTTCTTTGAATTGGGAGTTTGCTCGAGGATGAGAAAAAGTCTTAGTGTGGGGGAGTTTGATAACGAGAAATGTATCATGTATTTAAGCTCATTGTGCATATTTTCCGTCCGCATTTTATTTTGTTTATTTGCATTTTAGCTTATTTTCGTTGTTTTGCAGTTGCTTTGATCATCGGTTGCGAATTCGGTGCTGAATCGGAGAAAGAGAAGAAAAAGAGTTAAAGTACAGCAAATATGCAAATTCCTGTCTCCTAGCCTGATATGGTGTTCGCCATAGGGATATGGAGTTCACCATATGGATATGGTGTTCTCCTTTATCCCCCTTGCCATGTAATTAACAAGTTGAATCAATGACAATTGCCATGGCCCCAACGGCGGTCGTCATTCAGTCGCAGAATAGTTTTTCTGTTTTTGAAGAAGCAGTTAATTGCAGTTTGGAATTTTGAATATTCCCTCAAGTTTAAACCACACCTAGTAGCAGTTGAAGGGTCATTTCCTCTATAAAAAGCTCCTCGTAATAATTTTCTATTATCCAAGTATTGTGCGGAAGCCCTGTCAAAATAGTTCTAAGGCATAAAATTTCTCGTATAAGTGATAATAACTCACATCGAGGGATTGTCACACATGTTTATGTTTTTCTTGTACCAAACTCTTGGATTATCAATACAAGTTTGTCGCCATTTTTATTTCTATTCAGTCTTTTCAATTACCATGTTATCATTTCTTTATTGTTTTCTTAATTATCATTATTTTTTATTGCCATTAACATGTTAGTAGTAGGTTTAATATGTTTCAATATGTTTATGTTAAATGAAATGATGTCTGGCTAATTCTGTTTGAGACTGACGTATGAGAATCGTCGTAACCGATAAGACTCGATAGAAAATCTTAGGTGCGAACTTACGAATAATTGAATATTTTAGTCCTAGTTTCCATGCAGTTCATTTATTATTTTGACACGAGAGTGAGGAATAGACCAAGGTTCAATCCGATAGCGCGAGAGTGTAAGGAATGAACCGAATAGAGGGAACTAGACGTCGATCCTAAAAACAGCGAGAGCGCTTTAGGCGTCGTTTAGAATTTTATCGACTTTCAATAGCGTGAGACTGTGGGACGGAGTCTTTGAGTTGATACATTTCTACGGAATTGATTTTTATTTCCTAATCAGCATCTTATTCTACTAGTCCCTTAGGCACGTAGAATCCATACTCCAGACTCGTTTAGTCGTTTTTTTCAACCTTAAGCAATTTCGTTTTCGACTCTCATTTCTTAACATTTCAAATCCCTTTAGACTTAGTTGTGCATTACAACATAGATAACATTAGTTTGATTTTTAATCTTTGCGGGTTCGATAATCTTTTAAAACTACGTGATAGAATGTGTACGTGCAGTTACACATTCGACAGATATATAAAATCACGATCATCATGCTGGTTCATGTTAGTTGCTGTTTTAAGCAATTTGACTTTTGATTTTCTCGAAAATACATTTTCGATAATATCTAAAATGCAAAGGTGGTAGAATTTCCAATTTTCCACACTAATTAACCGAAAATACATTTCTAGTTCCCTCCCGTAAATGCATCTCCAAGATTAACTGTAATTTAACAAAAAATAAGTACATCTCAGATATACACTTCCGAAAAAGCAAGAATAAAATTGAATTTTCGTAGAATTCTTTTAAATGGTATAAGGTGTGGTACGAAATCCCCTAAATTTAATTTATCGTAGCATGTACTATTCTCGAATTTCAGACTGTGGATGATATACAAGAGATATTTTCGAGGTTGTATATGGTTAAAGAGAATTATTAAGGATGGAAATATCTTCTTTTTTTTCCACTCATAAACACTGCAATTCGTATTTTTAACGAGTACTTTCTAATTAATATCTCCATTAATTATAGTCTTTCACGAAAACTTTCAAAAGTACATGGAGCTGAAACAATAAGTACAGAATGCAATGTAAAATTCAAGATATGAAAAGAAGATAAAAAAAACATCAATGTTCTTACCTGTATGTTTTTACCTGTTTTAATTCAAAGAGTTTAATCAATGTATTAACTTAAACCAGGCAACCATTTTACGACGGATTTATCACTCCAAGGGGAAAATGGCATGTTAATTGGCGCATCAAAACTGCCCATGATTCTAGTAATTACTTGATGGAACCGCAATACAATTGCAAGCCTTACTTGTTGACATAGATTCATACAAAAGAAGAAAAATGGAGTATTATAAGCACATAATAAATAATGAATCAAGTTATTTGAATATTATTACGACTGTATTGCAGCGATGCAATAACTGTGACTGTTATGTAACTGTTCCATCAAAGCCATCACTGGTTCTATGCACTAAATACGCCATCTTTTAAACTCCTCTTTGGTAATAAAAACCATTTCTTTCCGGAGAAAGACATCAATTATGTACTCCAGAATATGTACATTCTTAATCTTATTGGAAAATTGCAGACCTACTGAAGGTTATTTGGCCCTACAGATTACATATAAATAATATTGGTGCATATTCCAACAGCTCGCCGCTGCGCTCCATTGTCAATTCAAAAGCTCTCAAATCTAGGCATGGCAGAATTATACAAGAAAAAAACAAAATTCTAGCCATTTTTACTGTTGGAGCATCTGAATAAATCAACCTCCTGCATCAGAGAATGTCTCATTGTAATGCTATGCTACCAATAGAGCCTTTCCTCGACAGGATAACAGCCCGGGTGATTTCCCATCTTCTAAACAAACAAAGAGAAGACTAAGTGAGATTTTTAAGGACTAAGATTATTTGAACAAAAGCATAGATTTATGAGGAAAGGCATGGCTGACCTATAGATGACACGTTAAAGTCATGGAGGGCAGAACTGCTGTACAAAATTATTATATAAAAATATGAGTCAGCCAAAACCAAACCCTTCACTAGCCTCATGGATGGCAAGTAACAAACGGTCTTGAAGCTGTTCCTTAGAGGTGTACTCAGGAAGATCTAGTTGATTGAAGCTGAAGAGCAATAAAATGAGATAATGTATTAGGATGAATGAAATTCAATGTGCCGAGCTAATATAGTTTTGTAGTAAGTAACCATTCTAATATGGAAATATGGTTTCTCACCAAGTATGAGCTGATGGAAGTCGATCAGGAGCCCCATATGCCTTGTGAATCTGGAACCTTTGGGGACCAGAGATACCTTGCAAGGCTTTAAAACCCTCCAAAGGAACCTGAAAAAACAAATTAAGGAGGCCACAGTTGTTACCAAGTGCATTCAAAAGATATTAAATACTCAACAAGGCTTGTATTTTTACCAGAAAACTGACCAACATAACTCTAAACGTGTTAGCAAAAATTAATGGGGAAAAAAAACCCTCAAGATGCAACATGACAACCATTTACTGCTATCTAAATGATACATTTCATGCATATGAGGATATATGTAGCACATCACATATATCATTAATGAATTTCATGAATCATCACATCCAGAACAATACTAATTTTATCGGTGCTTTTAGGACTCAATAACTACTTCAAAGCAAAGAGGAAACAAATCTTACCCAATCAAGGTCAATAAATTGACGGCTTATTAAAGCATAAATTTTCATTGCAATGAATATGCACAAGTACAAATAAATCATGTGGAGGTTGGCAAACTCCCACATTTTATCTAATACAAATACCTAAATATTTGTCTATTAGATATTGAACTCGTTGATACTTTTGTCACTTTATTCATTCAATGAAAAAGGAAACAAGAGATTAAATTTAAAGGGGAAAAAATTCAGCATCGCCAATCATCCCATCTAATGGAAAAAGACTTTTTGTCATTGTTCTTGTAAAAAAGAAAGAATGTTTGCTATTGCTAAGTCTACTCACTAATATAAATTACTCCCTCTGTCCCAAAATAAGTGTCATACACACTTTCACACAGATTAAAAAAATGTGATAATGATAAATGAAGAGGAGAGAATAGTAATTTTACCAAATTATCCTCATCAATAATTGGTGTATTCTACAATTTTTCATAAAACTTCAAAACTATTTCATACTTCATTAAACAACTACAACTGAACGTATAATACATTTTATAAAAACAAATATTGACTATATGGCAATTTGTCGATTTTCAACTGTTTGATTGTTGAAAACCAATGCCTAGAGTGAGTTATTAAGTAGAGTAATTAGGCCAACAGTTCAGTCTAGAGTAACTAAATATTCACCCATTTACTTTAACTCTTCATTCCAATGTTGCCAAAACCGGACCAATTGGTTCAATCGGTTGACCCAAAAACTAGCCAATTTTCCAATTAGTTTGATGGCAGTTGATTCATTGTTCTTTAGAAGTGGCTTGAACTGCAGTTCAACCATTTTTTTTCTTTAAAAAAACTTTTAAATATTTTATTTATTTATTGTCATCAGGCTCAACCGTAGTTAAACCAATTGAACCATGACCAGAAGTCTCGCAGGATTGATCTCTGGTCTAGTTTTAACAGCATTGCTTCATACAATACAATTACAGGAATATGTGTCAAACATAATTACACGACTTAAATACAAAATTAAAAAAATTATCAATTGGCAAAATTAGAATGACTACATATTTCTGAGAAAACTACCTTTGACGTTCCGGTCACAAATTGCAGTAATCTGGCCATGTCTTCCTTGTTGAAAGATTTGACCACCTCCCAAAACCATTGAACAACATTTGATGCCACAGTGTAGGCTGTATACTCGGTGTTTGCCTTCAAATCGTCCACTACAAGGATAATGACATTATTCAGATGTTTCGTAGAAAATTAGAACTTACTTCAACTAATTAAGAATAAGAAACCAACTCACAGTCAATTTCTGGAAGACCACTTATGAGTAGCTCAAGCTCTTTGTCATTAAAGATTGATATTAGTTCTCGTGGTACCATTTCATTAAAACCTTCTAGAAACGAATTGATTTGAGGACCGATGGCATTAGTCAAGAGATGTTCAGCAACAAGGTCAACATACTCATGCTTTGTTTCTTCTGTAACTCTTATGTTCCTTCCTCCAGGTTTAAGCTCATAATCAGTGACCTATTTAACAATCAAGGAGGGATGGAAAAAACGAGAGTAAGGATACCTCATAAGAATTTACCATGGGCAAATACATTTCAATCACCTCAAAAAAACAACTAAATGGTCGCGCATTAAAGTTTTCAGAAGCTTTTTGTTGTAAGTTTTGCTTTTACGCAAAAACAAGAAAGACCAAAATAAAATGTTCACTTACCTCAGTCTTCTCATAAAGTATGAGTTTTTCTTCATCAGCGTCCATGCTAAATGTCAAGTCAGGAATATCACTCACATCATTCTGGTACATAAAAAAAAAAAATTAGACCAAAAACGATACATGCAGAAAATAAGTGCACCATGAACTCACAAATAAAATTTTATGGCCATTTTCAGCACACCGTTGAAGAGTACCAAACAGAGTTTATACTGCTTATAGTAATAAATAATAATAATAATAATAATAATAATAATAATAATAATAATAATAATAATAATATCCATACCAGAGAGGATAACAGTTTAGGTGTCACCGCTCAATACAGCGATTGTGATATAATTCTATAATACGTGTGAATTCAAGGTAAGTGCATAAGCTTGGGCAATACAAAGGCAGGTTAAACAAATGAAACAAACCCATGTTGTCATAACACAAGTGCACACACCCTTCCCCTCAAGTCAATCTGCTCCAAAGCAGTGCATAAAGCTTGGGCAGTATAAAGAGCAGGTTAAACAAATGAAACAAACCCATGTTCAATGTAGTCAAGATCGAGAGCTGGGTCGTAAGATCCTGAAATTGCCTTTTAGTGCTAAGATCTTACAAAAAACTTTTTCGTGTGCTTTTGTAGTCAAGATCAAGATCTTTAAGGTAAGATCGTAAAAATCAGTGTTGGGCCTGTTTTGTTGGGCATTCTAACCGGGTCAGATTTTTTTTAAGTGAACCCAGTTTTTTTGTTTTACTTAAGTTATCTCTTTCTTAACCCTAAAACACAACGAAAATCTGAAACTTTCCACCATCATCTTCGCCATTCTTCTCCCTCTGCTATCACCTCTGTTTTTCTCCCTCTGTTATCATCCTCATTTCGTTTTCATCTTCTTCCTACCACTGTTCTGCCCTCTGTAATGACTTCAAATAAAGGGTCACAATATTTCATCAACTGCTGAAAGTAGTGCTTCTGCTCCTACTCCCGCAAAAAATGCTCTTGGAATGAAAACTGACCCATCATGGGAATACTGCGTTTTATTTGACCCAATTTCTAGAAGAGTGAAGTGTAAATTCTGTGAGGGTGAAGTTACATGAGGTATTTATAGTGTTAACTATCATTTGGCCGGAACCCATAATAATGCTAAGCCGTGTTTAGTTGTTCCAGATGACGTCAAGAGTAAAATGGTGGACAAGGTTTACAAATTACAAACAAAGTTGCTGGAAAAGGCATAAGAAGTTAGTATTGAAGGTGATAATTCTATTGCCAATGATTGCTCAAGTGGAAAAGGGAAAAGTCAGGTGGAGATAGCACCTAAGGATATGTTCAAAAGAGGAATCACCAGTACACTAAAACAGACCACAATCAACAGTAAATTTAAGCAGAACTTACGGGACGAAGCATGTGAATTTACCATTTTGCCCTTCGGTAAGATCTTAAGTGTCGTGCTATGAACCTAGTTTTACGATCTTTTATAGGCCGTCTGATCCTACTTAAGATCCCGTGCTTGACTACCTTGCCCATGTTGCCATAACACTAGTGCACACAGCCCTCCCCTTATGTCAGTCTGCTCCAAAGCTCTGTCCACTCACAAACACCTCTTATACAGATAATATGTTTCATTTCAAGTAAGTCCTAATAATTCCTAACATTTATTTTATTTATTTTCTCATGCTTCCTCTTCCTACTTAAATAAATCTACAACCTCAAAAAAAGGGAGATATAATATGACAGAAAATCATTAAAACACAGAATGAAAGGTCAATAAAATAATATAATGTTAAGAATGATTGAGTTCTGGAAGCACAGAGGCTTAAAGAATTTTAGAGATAAGTTAGAAAGAAACGGCGAGGTTTGGGAAACACTACAGATCCCCAAGAAGCAGCAAAGACAAGATAGATCTCTGATTGAATGGACTCATTTGGAACCTATATGGTGAAAATTGTTGGTGCGTGGAAGAGGGGAAACTATGGAGGTTAATGAAAATTTTCAGGGATAAGGGAGGCTAACCCGTTCCATTGCCAGGGTAATGCCACAAGCCAGCTTATAGTGGTACAAAAAATCATCTACCAAGGGGAATACCAAACAGTGAGAATCAAACCTAAGCCATAGGTCTAATTTGATACGTATAAGTTTTTATTTTTAGCAAAATCCATTTAAAAAAACAACTATTTTAAATAAATTTTGTATTGCTTTTAATGTCAGGCTATATTGGCCTCTTAACAGTGGAATTTTAATTTTATATCAAACAATCGAATAAAGTCTGCCGAAAGATACAGCATAGAATAGGGCTATACGATTCAGAAGGTTATATATTGACACAGCAAGACAGACTGCACAAACAAGATTATCCAATACCGAAGATAATTATTTTACCATATTTGTTAACCCTTATATCCTATACAGCCTAAAACTATATAAAGTGCACCAAACAATGCTTAAGGTGAAACGAGAATAAGGGGTCAAAATTGTAAATCAGTACTCACCTCCAACATCCATTTCAAATTCTTATAGTAATCAGGATCAACCGCTTCAATGTCATGGTATGTAACCTTAACACCAAGTATATGCTTATAGAAAGACCGGGTAAAGTAAACATCCAATAGTTGTCCATCAAACAACGCCTTTCCCACCTGCATGTAAGATCATAATGACAACTGTCAAAGAACAACTAAACCTGAAAACACAAGATGTAATGAAACTGCAAGAAGTAGGGGGAATATCTATTATTTTGGGTCTAAATACAAACAACCGTAACAGTTAAAGTGCATACCACTCGGCCCACAAACTTGAAGTATGAGAGGTGTTCAGTCTGGTAAACGGAGTTAGGGTTTGGTTGGAACGTTGCATTGTTACCCACTGTTGTGAAAAGTAAAGCACCCTTGTCAAATACGACTCTTGATAGTAGCTGATACCATTCTCTGGTCAAACCACCAGCATCAATACCCTCTTCACCTTGAAATTGCACATTTAATCGCCCCTTAAGATCCTGAGTAGGACGCATCCTTAATTGATTATACGAGTCCTCCAATATGTAAGCTCGCCTTACACTTATACGCAGCGGCCCAGACAAGTGGTGGTCATGTTGTTGCCTGATTCTTGAGCGAAAATGGGCTCTCTTGTTATCAAAGTCAATCAATCTTGGTGCCTTAAGCATCATGGACAGAGATTTCTCCAACAGACCGGGATTCTGTCGAATGAAAGCATTCGCAAGTCGGCGATGCTTCTCAGCAAACCTTGTAAATGTAACAGCACCATCCAGCTTTCGCTGTGAGTCTCCACAAAATTTTCCACTTACTGAAGCTGAACAACCAGCAGACTCCTTGACTTCTCTAGCAGTTGCATTATCGTGGTCATGCGGCATGATAGGTTTGTTTGCTTGTAGCTTTTCACACAAAACAAAGAAAGCCTCAATGAAAGGCAGGAGTCTTTGTGTCCCAGGAGGAAGTGGTGGTGAAGTAGAGGAGCCATGTAAATTCTCAGCGACATTCATGTTTGACATGTTAGAAGAGAAAGAGCTCTGGCCAAGTTGCATCTCAGCTGCACTAATACAATTACTCAGTTCTTGCCACAGTGGCTCGAGTGCAGTATTCAAATTCCAAATAATTGCTTTGTCGCCATGCTGATCTAGATCTACATCACTTTCCATATCCATATTTTCTGAAGTATCAAGTGAAATGAGGGAACTTAGAGCTTGCAGCACTCGTAGAATGGCTGCACCAGCCATTGAACCAGCACTCAAGCCAAGCATATTTGTTTGCTGCAGGGTAACAAGCTCACTGACAGCTGAACCTGTCAATGCATGAGATGATTCCGACAGCTCTAAAATAAAGAACTTCCTATGAGAGGGAACAATGAAGGCCAACTTCTTCAGCACTTCACCAGCAAGCATGTACATTTTATCCGAAAGCCTAAAAATATCAGATTAGTCACTTTTGTTACATCACAGCTGAAAAGGTTACAAAAATGCAGACAGGAAAATAAAAATTAACGAGTGAGGAAGTACTGAAACAAACTTTCAAACCACATGTTCATGATTATCATACTTAACAAAAAGAAAAGAGATACAAGAATGTTATGAACAGTACCCTTCACGGCCAAGAATACTGCACACATTCCGCAAATCAGATTGAGGCAACTGCAAGAAGATATTGTACATATCTACATTCTTCTTTCCATTGGAATGACATGGTTTTGTATCTTCTTTATTAGAGTCCAACTCCACTAAAGGAGGATCCTTCTCAGCTTCATTAACAGACAAATTTTGGGTATCTGCTATTTCTTTTTCAGATTGAGATAGACTAGCTAATTTTGCTGCAGCAGTTTCAACTACAACTTGAATGAGACCCATGACCTGCTCAAGATGAGCAGTGCTACGTAAAAATAAGGGTCGGTTCAAGAGCTTTAAAAAGAGAACAAGGGGAACATCCCCCACATGAGTTTCAGAGGGTTTTGATGAAGGTCCCCCTTCAATAACCTTTTCCTTCCCTTTCCCATTAACATGTGTGATAGATGAATTTGAAGAATCTGCAATTGATTGGTCATAGTGAAACAACATTTTGGCAACGGCCGAATGATTTGTGGCCAAGTAAGTCAGGATCTCAAGGATTCGGCGGAACACTAGGGGAGGAAGTCCTGCTACGAGAAAATGAAAGGCGAGATCAGCATGCAATATACTATAATATTGAGATAAACATGAACATTATGTTAAGCCTTAAGTGCAAACAATTACCGTCCAACAATTGAGATCGGCCATATACTGTGTTTGAATGACAACCATAAAGCCTCTGGGAATTTAATGTCACTGCTCTGCTTACAGAAACTTCAGTTTCCGGCTTAATCATATCAAGCAAAATATAAATAAGAGTGGCTCTTGTTACACTATGTGCACATAAGTTTAAAAGGAGTCTCTGCAGAAGGCCTTTTCCAAGGGGCTGACATGATGATCCAAAAACAGAGCATGTTATTATAATCAGAAAGATACCATAATACACATCTCAATAAAATATATACTCCTTCGCTTTCATATAAATGTCACTTTAGCAACAAAAAAATAGTTTCAAAATGAATTACATTCTCACGTTTAAATGAAAAATCAATTATTTTTTTCCAATTGTGTCTGCTAATTAATAATATGAACACTACTTCCAAAGCATTATATTCCACTTTACATTGTGATAGTGAGAATACGCCAACAGTTAATAGGGTTGGTTTGGCAAAAATATCATGCCTTTCGACAGCTTCATTGTTTTTCTTAATCTGTATGCAAACACTTTAAACAATACTCATTTTGAAAAGAGAGAGTATGTACTAAAACACAATGTGAATATTATTACATGAAAAACTAGATAATATCCAATGCCCCAAACAATTAGGAAAATTAGGAATGTGCATTCACACTAAGCAAGAAAGGCTTGTTAACTAAGACTATCATCATGAAGAGAGCCAAACTTACTTGTGCCAAACGTAGAAGCCGGATCAAAGCTTTTAATGCATTTGCATCAAGTAGTGGCTCACCTTCAATCTCTTTCACCTTCAAGGTATCAGTAAGGGCAGACCTCCTGTCTATCGTAACACCAACACCCCGATCCATCACAGGCCTTCGAACAAATCCCAGGCCATTTCTTCTATTGTTAAGCCTGTGACTGCTCCCAAAAAGGCTGCGAGCTTGATAATGACTCATTGCTCGGTCCCTCAATATTTGAGCTTCAGCAAGCAACGGAGCGGGTAGTGCAGACAAAACTGCTTCAGAAGAAGTTAAAAGCACCTAGTATAGAGCAAAGAACAAGCATTACAATCATGTCATATTTCCACTAAATAGAAATCACTCAATATGCTGCATAACAGAAAAGCAAACATTTAAACCTCTTCACGCAAATCAGCAGGAAAAGTAGCAATTATAGATGCATTATCCATATCAACTGGATGTCCTTCAGCCTGCTGGGCAACCCTTTGAGCTCTTTGTTGGGCCAAAACCTCTGCTTGAATATCAGGAGGAAGAGCAGCTAAAAATTCAGGATCAATATCTTCTCCAGAAGGTGGGGCATAAACTGAAGGTTGAATAGATTGAGCTTGTTGTGATGCCAAAACTTCTGCCCGTAGATCTTCAGGAAGAGCCTCCAAAAATGTAGGGTCAATCGTACTAGTTCCAGAAGCGTCATTATTCGCACTAGTTTGGTCAGCCTGAGTATCATCCGGAGTAACCTCAGTGTTCTGAGTTGATAACAACGGATCCCTCCTGTCTTCGAAAACTGTTGGTTGCCCAGACTGATTTCTTTCAGCATCAACACCAACCATATCAACGTCAACATTAGTATTTATTGATGATGCAGGGCAATCACTTGGAGTAGGAGTCTCCAAACCAGAGCCCGGTAACTCAAGATTAGTAGGCTGTCCAGCAAAATTTGATGTTCCATTGCAAACCAATGGTATAACTGGCACATTTTGGTTGTTAGTAAGTTCATTAGCAGCCCTTCCGCATTGTACATCAGCACTAGATACAATAGATGAGTTTACCAATTCCTGGGGTATTGCTACATTATCACTGGGAGTAACATTTATTTCATTTACAGTGCAATCAAGACCATTTGGCATGATGTTCAGTGAAAGTGGTTGGACAGACATAGGCTCATTAGTATGAAGGCTTTCTTCACCAGTATCTTGACCACCAAAGTCTACATTTCTCTCTTCCTCACAAGTAGCACCATCAACTGAAAGGTTTATTTGCTGAACTATAGTTTCAGCACCGTTTTCCTGCTCCAGACCTGCAAACTGCTGAGTAGAGTCAGCCCCAACATTCAATGATGAATCATCGTGTGATGGAAGAGCATCCGACTGTTTCTCTTGTTCTTCAGAATTATGTATTTGTCGATCTGTAGGATTGCTTGCAGGATCTATGGTAACCATCTGAGCTAAAAAGTGTGCCTCCACTGCTTGTGCAATGGCAGCTGCTTGAGCGCCTCCTTGTGGTTGACCATCATCAGTCCATCTACCATTACCTAACACTCTTCTTCCATGTAGGTGTGATGAGCTCATACCCAGAGAATAATCTGTGAGAGGAGGTGGCGCTACACTACCCAGATGTTCTCCAAACATACTACTTGGCATGTGATCATATGGAAGAGTAGGTCCATCAAACATGTAGAAATGGGAAACGTCAAGATTCCCAGATGACAGGGTTTCTGAATCCCGGGATGCAGAATTACCACCCGTTGACCACATAGAGACAAAATCGCCAGATTGTGGTGGCCTTACAAAAAGAGGATGTTGAAAACCATTTACTTCAGAAGCAGGCCTCTCGAAGGAAGATCTACCTGTTTGGCGGCGACGCTCAAAGCTCTGAAGACGAAAAAGGTCATCCACATTAACCCCATCAAAAGGGTCAGAAGCCACATCTATAACACCAGCTGTTCCAGGTTGCCCAAGTATCTGCAAGTGATCCAATCCATCTAGAGCTTCCCTCCATCTCACCTCTATGACGCGGTTCTCATGAAAATCATCGTCGTCTTCATCAATCATTTCATCATTGTATTCATCTCCCAAATCAGCATCATCTTGATCCTCTGCGTCAGTATCAGCCATAGACATCATGCCCCCGCCATCTTCTGCTATATCCTCATCTTCATCCACTCCATCCCCGTCATCATCTTCATCATCGTCACCGTTGTCACGATCATCACCCATACCATCATCTTCATCACCCATATCATCATCTAACCTATTCTCAACATGAAAAGTCATCTCGATTTGCTCTGGGTTGCGCAAGACACTGCCCTCACCCATCTCTTCATGCATAAAGTCCATTCCTAGTTCCACTTGTGGATTTTGGGCTATTGCTGCCTCTTCTACTCTCATATCTTGCTCTCCTGACTGATTTGGATTATCAGCATGATGATCACCTTCAGAGGTTCTTTGATGATGTGCATTATCAATTGTTTCTCTGAGTGCTTCTTGACTTCCCGCATTCGGATCATGGGCCACGGTTTCAACTACAGAAGGTGTTGTCATTTGATCATCAGATCTTTCATTCAAACAAGTAGATCTTCTCTTTTCAGCCCCGTCAGATTTAAAGATTTGCTCACTAGCATTAGCAGCTCTTGAAAGACATTCTAAACCTTTGAGTACAAGAGTCGCAAATTTGGGTGCATCGGGATGATCCAAATCAACCACTTGCAGGATGCTAGTCAAACATTTAATTATTCCACCATCGATCAAGCTTTTTGCAATATCAGGTGAATATCCAGAACCAGGTAAGCTACCAGATGACGAATTTTTCGATAAAATAGAATATACAAGATCAACAAAAGTAAAAAGCCTTTTATCTGGGGATAAGCTGTTTTTCATAGAATTGCTCTCGAAGTTTGAAAAGGACATCACTTCTTTAACAAGTTCATTTGTCACTCGCTTACGACCTTCACTAGACCGACCACACAAAACTACCAGGAACCATGAAGCCTTTTCAGACAACTTACCTCTCCAATCATCAGGTCCTGCAGATTTGTCAGCAGAAAGCGGTAGCAAGCAATGTAATACATGATGGATAATTCCATTATGTCCAGATGGTGGATTAGATCCACGAAATTGACACATTTCAGAGTCGCGTCTGAGTATGACACCAACTGCATGTCCATACATTAGAACAATGTCACTCAATAACTTAAGGACAAAAGTCACCTTCACCAATTCTGCAGACCTTTGAGACTCAGACCCTAATATCACTGTCTCTGCAACCTTCGATTTTCCCTTTACCTTCATAGTAGGTTCATCTATATCCATTAAAGTAGAGTCGCCCTCAAAACCTTCCCTGCCTTTCATCGGTGGGTACTTAAGCACAATCTCAAGAAGTTGATCAACTACTAGAGTGAGATTTGCTGGAACTTTTTTGTGGCTTTTCGAATATTTTCCTGTTCCATCTTGTGGCCGGCTTTCAGATATTCGGAGACATTCATTTGTAGCATCAATACTCGATGATTTTGACTTTTCCTTTTCTTTCTCCTTTGATAACACAACTATTGTCCTTCCCCCTGACGTCTCTAACTGACAAGCTGCAGCTGCAGCTTTCATGAAAACAGCAGGATCTCTAGATATAACAGGTGCCAAAGAAGTCAAAAATGATCGGGGAGAAACACGCCCTGAGTGACGATTCCCACTTAAAGTTTGTCGTATCTCCAACTCCATGGCTGATTGTAATGTTTGAGGATCTTCAAGAAGATGCCTAACTATAGCCGAGACAACAGTGTCATACCCAGGGAAAAAAGAATTCCTTGGAAGACTAAAGAGAGCAGTCAGACCTCCATTTTCAAGGAACTTCATAGCCAAAGCATGTGTTTTTGTTAACCGAGCACATAACTGTAGAACAGCCTGCATGACCACGGCCGGGACATGCTGTTTTATCAAATCACATGTAATATCCAACAACTTATGACTCTCATCAATAGTTGCAAAGCCAGTCGATTTCCCTAGTGCATTTTCAAAAGCCATGCCAGGTTCTTTTTCCCTCCCATCTATTTCTTTTTCCTCCTGTTCAACTGTGTCAGGAAATTGCAGGGAACCATGTTCCCCAGATGAGTCAGGCACGAAACCAGTTTGGGTTCCGGCTTCCATATTTTCAGTCTTTGGCCTTGACTGCAACATCTGATCCAATATAAGTAGTAAAGCACTCATGCATTTAGAGAGCGGTAATTCTTTCCCCAACTCGGATCTGCCTTTCAAGTTTGTCAAGATATCTATGATGGTAGATATAATTCCATTCTGAGCTGCAACATCCCTTGTACTGCCATCCTCAAAAAGAAGTAATGTTATAACATGTGCTAACATTCCTAAGGCACAGTTATCTGTGGAAAAGTCCAATGGACAAAGTTTAAGCTGCTGCAGAAGATAAGATATTACTTTTGGACGATCTTCACCTTTGTTTCGGTTGCAAAGTGTTACGAGCAAATCTGACAGCTGAAATGCCACTGAATCACTACTCTGAAACAACCGCACAGATGCAGCAAGTAAATCATCAACTGGAGGTTTCTTCACGTGTCCCTCTTCAGTTGGCACGTCAATAGTCTTCTCGACATTGTCAACTTTAGCAGTTTCGGAACTACTTCCTAGGGAAAGGGCGAGGGCTTGAGCAAGTTCATCATCCTCCTGGACAGGATCATCAGCATGACTAAACAGCCACTCCATAGCCATTTCAACACTATTTGTTTCCACTCTTCTCAGTGCTTCTTCAGCCCGTGCCCTTGAAAAACCCATCTCAACAATAGTTGCAATGGTTGCCTCATCAGGTGGAGGGGGCATGAAACGTTGATTTGTGCTTCCCAAAATGTTATTTCGATTTCGCTTCACATCTCCAACACCAGAATATACATGTGTAACAAGTGAAATAATTGATGCAATGAAACTGGGACTACAGCTATAGAACATGGGATGATTCCAGACTGGTAGGATCACATCCAGAACCTGAGATTGCAGCATACGCACAAAAACTTCCGGATCTCTAGGAACTGGAAAGAGACCAATTGAGAGGCCAACAGCAACTGGTTGAACAAGAAGTTCTGCCTGAGATGCTGACGTTGGGGACAAAAGCATAGAAGAGTTTACAAAGTACTCAAGCAAGCGACAATAGCTTTGTAATGTGTAAAGTAGCCATGTGTTGTGGGACAATTTGACTCCTTCTTTCTTTCCCAGATCAATATCTGATGAGGGGAAAGAGTACGGAAGAGTCCATAGCAACTGACTAGTAGCTTCGTATGTTGTCAGTAGCTCTTTAAAAGTTCCGTGTACATACAAGTTATTAACCATGGCTGTATAACAACTTCTGCGCCTGCTGTCAAATATGAGAGCTGCCATATCATCAACAACCTTCCCAAGGTATCTACATTTTACAGAAAGTGAAGTTTCAAGTCCAGCATAAGTAGAATGTCCAGAAAAACTCAGGGCCTCAAGAAAATTTGTAGCCAAAACAGTTCCAAGGGCCTTTGAAGCCGAGCCAAGTGAACCTGAGTCAGCTCGACGACGATTTGGTGAAGTGAACCCTTTCACAAGAGCAGTGAAGAAAGAGCGCATTGTTGACGCTAGCTTGTTAAGAATCTCTAAGGCAAGATCGTCCGGGCTTTTCTTTTTCAAATCTTGGGACGAAGACGCTTCCGGTGCACTAGAAGTTAATTCAGAATCAATGTTTAAAGCTTCCAAGCGACGAGCAGTTCTTCCACCTCTCATGCGAGATATCCCTTGCCGAGTACGGCGGTGCAAACCTTCTCCAGAACGAACTACAGAAGCAAAATCACGCTCTCCACTCCACAGAGAATGTGAACCAGTTCTAGCAAAAACCGGGTTTGTGTATCTAACTGTCTGCATGTTTGTGTCATCATCACTCTCTCTTTCAACAACAGTAGATGAAGGTGCTTGTGAAATATCAGGTTCTTGATCATTATTCTTCTTTTCATCTGTCTTGGAGTCATTACACAAAGATATTTGCCAAATTATTTCTTTGTATGTTCTCCCAATATCTTTTAACACATCAGCATCAAAAGTGCTTAGTTCAGAGACTACAGCAGTGGTTCCCTTCAACAAGAACACAGAGAGAGCCAAGATACCTTCAAGACTAGAGAGATACTTCAACACCTTTGACTGTTTAGCAGATTCAACTAGAGCAATCTGAGTCCCCCCAACAGAATCTAAGACCTCGTTAGTAGATTTCAAATGTTCCCTTAAGAACGAGCATACATCTCGGGCAAGAGAAACATAATGTTGTGGGGAAAAGTTCTTGAAGGCAACAGAGATGGTCTGACCAACAGAAATAGAAGGAGGCATTAAAGACAGTGTAAATAACTGGAGAATAGCTTCAATCCCCTTTTTCTCAACAAATATTCGACATGTGTCGGCATTCTGAAGAACTGTCTCAAGCAGACGAGCAACATTGTTCACACAATCTGGAAGATAAGATTCAACATTCATTGTTGACGCATCAGGAGATGGCTCATCGATCTGCTCAGTGTTATCTGGCTTTGATGACTCCTTACTATCGGACAAGACCAAATTCTTGTCCCCACCATCCATTTCCATAGGAGCAGAGCTTGAAGAGCAAGGATCGGGAGACAATGATAGGGGGTCTATGGCAGAACCAATTTTTGAGATGGTTTCCAGAATCTCAACTAACATATCCACTCCAGGTCCACGTAACGAAGAAGCGTGTCGCATTAATTCATCCAGACCACTAGATAAAGAGGCAGGTGTGTCCCCTGTAAGAGCACGCAGATATGTTCTAGAAGTAAACACTTTCACAAAACATCTCAATGAATTTCTCTCTTTCACAGCCTGGAGGCCATTACTGTTTAAGCATAAAGCATCCAAACACTGGGGAATACATGCAATGGCTTCTGAAGAGTTGAGAACATCATCCATTATAGCATCCAAGAAGGCAGACGGAAGACCAGCTGCATCTAAAATAGGAAAACAAGTTGGATCTTTTTGTATTAAATCACTCAGGACAGTAGCAGCAAGCGAGAAAACTCCACCACCAAAAACTTTTGCTCTTCTGAAAATGATACATAAGCACTGAGGCAACACGTTCTCTTCAGATCCAAATATACGAAAAGTATTTCCAGGGGCATAGGTTCCAAGGGATATAGCACGCAATAAAGCTTTCATCAGCAATCTCCGGTGATAAGAAATTAGTGGTTCAGAATACAATGGCTGCATGTCATCTAAACAAACTGAAGAACCTCCAACCATGTTTGCACTTGTACTAGATTCAAAATTTTCAACCGGCTGCTTTCCACCATTTTCAACATGAGAGACTTCAATCTTCAGACGAGAGATGGTATCATCTAAACCTCCCAAATCTCTGAACAATGCAGCAGCTGGATTACTGAAATCCATAAAAGCTTCTAAAATGCGCACAGCTTTTTCAACCAGATGCAAGTGCTGTGGATTTATATCTTTTAGTAGAGGTAGAAGAGTAGGAATGAATCCTGCTTCACGCATGGCAGAACATCCTGATGACGACGAAACCAATACGGTTACAAGAGATATAAGAGCTTCAGCAAAATGAACTGACCACTTAGATGTATCACTAATAACAAAGTCAACTGATTTTTGCATCAGGCTAGGTAAAATGCCACGGTGCCCTCCAGATGTAAGAGCAGTCAATACTGAAGGTTGACGGGAACGATCTTGGCAGAGAGCAGCTAATGAATGCAAACACAAAACCCTGATTTTTTCCAAAACTGCATCTTCATAGCTCAGTAGTGAGACCAATTCGTTGATAAATCCAGGCTCGGCATTGAAGAATGAAACCAGGTCATCAGCATCACCGCTCGCTTGAATCAGAACTATGAAAGCATACAAGCGAATGCATGTGTATTGCTGTCTAGAACTGAAAGAACCAAAAGCCCTAGCGAACCGCAATCTTGTCAACAAAGAAAATCGTAAACTGGAAGGTACTTTATATTCTGTAACCAACTTGTGCAAAAGTTCAAGATCAGTTTCCACACATTTGTGGACGTCACTGAAGTGAATGATTTGCAATCCTTCGACCAGGGGTTCAGCCCCTTTCATGTCACTTTCTGACTCAGTTACTGCATAAAACTCAAAATGAAGGGAACAACCCAATTCATTCGCAATAGGGTCGCAACCATTAGGCACAGCTGATGTAATTAGTCCGAGTCCCTCTTCCTTTCCACCCCATCCTTGTGCAAGAGCAAACAGTTTTGAATTCAAAGAAGTGTCTCTTATGGAGTACTTTCCAATTGTTTTCTTCAAAAAAGTAGCCAAAGTGTCCAGGGTAGCCTCAACCACATCCGGATCAGTAGAAGCAAGCAGTGATGAAAGATGTTGCTGCAGATTCAAAGAAACCATTATAAGTATCAATGCTGGTCACTAAGGATAAATAAGAAAAATGTACAGGCCTAATAGTAACACGTGTTAAACATTAAAATTAATGGAGACATAAATACCCCAAGTCACCAAATAGCAGAGAAAAGGGTAAATTAGAAACACCCATATACAAAAAGGCATCAAAAAATTGTTGGCTCTCATCTTATTAAGTTTACCAGAGTGGAAAAAGATGATTTTAGGAAAGATGTCATACCTCATATGAACTGTAGAAATGCTTATTTGTGCAATTATCCAAAATTATTCTAATGACACGAAGAATTTGAAGAATGGCTTCTCTTGGAAAAGGAGGATCTGAGTCTAGAAAATCGTCATCAATTTGCAGATCCTTCCTTGGTTTTACATACTTCTCAAAGAATGAATCAAAATGGTTAAAAAGATCAACCCAGTGATGAAAGTCTCCCTGTTCAGAGAACAAAAATACCAATGAATCAAAGACATACAAAAAAACATGAGTTACTAAGGTAAAAAGAAAAGGACCGTAAAGCCACCTTATCAAACTCCCATGCGAAGCTTTTTAAAGGATCTTGTATGTTCTCGAGTGGAACTGCAGTAACACAGTTGATGGCGCATCTAACTTTTGGAGGCTGCAACAAATCAAACACAGATTGATCAATCAGCTAAAGGGAATCAGCTAAAATCTCTTATATTGCAGTAACATTACGATAACCAGCTAAAAATACACAATAATTGAAGTAAAAGAGCAAATGACTAACTTAAACTGCATACAGATTAAAAGACGAAAGAGTACATAAAACAATAAATTAAACTAGTAACCGTCTACAAACAACTGAAACTGACTTCCAGCTCACAATACAACAAATGCCTAAAATTCTGCAATATTGGAATGCAAACTTACTTAAAGAAAAATCATTCAATGTTGAGTGCTAGGTCGCAAAGCAAACCTCTCAAAATTTTAATACACTAGTAAATCATGAATATTACGTTATCAACGAGTTTTTGTCAATATCACGGGGATGAGTTAAATACTACAATAACATGATACATCAATAACAACGAAGTCTTACTCCAATACAACTATAAAGCACATACTCCTAGTCATACACCTGGCACGACACAAACACACTGCTGACGTAAAAAAAAAACATATGATACTGATTGATATATTTTTATTTATTACAATTTACAAAATACGAACACTATTTTATCATTAATAATGTCTGTGGGCAGGCGCCGAACAATTTGTTTCAAATTCAATACAAAAAATGTAAAACAATATGATAGTCATTCAGATTCATTCACAAATTCCGAGAAAAGCTAAAACTGATGTAATCAAATTTAATATCGATAACCCCTCATCGATCAGCATACATCTTTAAACCAATAGATACCCAGTAAGTGTTTAAGGTGTGTTAAAGCAAATTATTAAAAAAAAAGAACAGCTTTTTGGGATACTTGTCTTATTCTGTGTCGGAAAAGAACAAGCCTAATCCCAGATACGAGCGTGCTTATAGAAAAGAGACCATGAATCCGTGCAACATAAGGAACAACAAAGTAAGTCCCAAGAGAGAATCATCGCGACAATTGGCAATTGATCATCATATTACAACTTCAGTTCATCAACCAAGAAAATCACTTTGTAGAACAATTACAACTTGCAAACCCCCAATAAAATCGGAAGAAAAAAACATAAACCCCCATAACAAGAAAAAAAATCAATTGAAAATGAAAGGGGAAAATTACAAAAAAAAATAAAAATAAAAATTGATCGGGGAATTGAAATATGCGTGGAAGAAAAAAAAACAAACCACTTCGAGTGTTCGCTTTCTTCTCAACTTCATATTTGGGGAATTAGGAGCATCGCAGGAATCAGAGAAAATGATTGAGCGTCTGGATCAATTCCCTAAACCTACAATCGAGAATTGATCCTTCGATCAGATACAAGGAATAATCACAACTCTGGAAGAGAATGAGAGGATTGATTGGAGTAAAGAGAGCGAGAGAAAAGAGAGAAAACCCAACTCAAGAGGAGAATGAAGTACACAAAATCACTATAAAGAAAGTACAAAGAACAAGTGTATGTTAAGTGTATATTAATATTGATTATTTATAATATAAGAGTATGTTTGGAATTTTTTTATAAACTATATACTACATCTTTTACAAGTTAAAAATTAAAATAAATACAGTATTAATTTTTTTATAATTAAAAATAAACATGCTAGAGTATAATTTATATTGATTTTGTATTCTATGCTAGGTATACATTAATAGATTTGCATTATAGTTTAGTTATTTAAATTATGATTCTGGTGGCTTCTTCAAATATATTGAGCCCTGCAATGAAGAATTCAAGTTTTCATATTCAAGTTTTCATTTGAAAAAGGGTTTAGAGTTTCCATCAGATAACAAGAGGATCACTTAAGCCGTGAATGATATAGAAAGGTTAATCAAAGTGCAGTGCGAAACACCTCATGCAATAAATTAAACATTCAATTAGTAGAGATTTGGACATGCAAGTTGTGCATGTGTATGGAAAAGTAAATCTTTGTATTATGCCTCGGAGAATTTGAGTCTAAATCATGATCCAAGAGACGTTACTACGAAAACTGCCCTATATAACTGATTACTTTAATCTCTAATAATGTTATCATCTCTCGTGTAAACTTTTGTCGTTTTTTAAGCTTTTTATCATTAAAATAACCATAATTGCATCCAGTTATATCAATTGATTTCAAAGGTATCAAAGATGATTTACATTTATATTATCATATTACAATTATTCCAGTGTAATAAAATATATCAATATGTTTAAAGTTTAATTGACTTTTCAATGTGTGTATTTAAACAGACATTTGAATTAAGTGTATAATTTATTGTATTTTGTTTTGTTACAAATGTGAAAGAAAAAAAACCTTGTATTTTGTTGTGTTCGAAAATAAATACTCCAAGTCGTCAAAAAAGAGAGAAAAGGGAATACAAAACAAACACACCCACGTACATAAAGGCATCAAAATATTCTTAGCTATTATCTTATTAAGTTGATCAAGGTGGAAAAATATGACGGTAGGAAATATGACATACCTCATATGAACTGTAGAAATGTTTATTTATGCAGTTATCCAAAATTATTCTAATGACACGAAGAATTTGAATAACGGCTTCTTTTGGGAAAGGAGGATCTGAGTCTAGAAAATCGTCATCAATTTGCAGATCCTTCTGTGGTTTTATAAACTTTCCAAAGAATGAATCGAAATGGTTAAAAAGATCAACCCGGTGATGAAAGTCTCCCTGTTTAGAGAAAAGAAATGCCAATGAATCAAACACATCCAAAAAAACATGAATTATTAATGTAAAAAGAAAAGGGACATAAAGCCACCTTATCAAACTCCCATGCAAAGTTTTTTAATGGTTCTTGTATGTTCTCGAGTGGAACTGCAGTAACACAATTGATGGAGCATCTAATTTTAGGAGGTTGCAACAAAGCAAAGAAAGATTGATCAATCAGTATCTCGTATTATGTTGACGTTAACATAATCAGCTAAATATGAACAACTGATGAAGCAAAAGAGCAAAGAATTATTTTTTACTACTGTATCATTCAGGATTTGAGCTTTGTCTCTTGAAGTGGCAATAAAGAGGAAACAACTAATTTAAACCGCATACAAATTAAAGAATAAAAGAGTGCGTGAAACAATAAATAAAGCAAGAAACCATATACAAACGACTGAAACTGAAACTTATTTCCAGATGAAAATACAACTCATGCTTAAGGTTCAATAATATTGAAATGCAAATTTACATAGAGAAAAATCATTTAGCGTTAAGCGCTAGGTCGAGAAGCAAACCTCCTCAGTTTTTATTTTTATTTTGTCTAATAGCCAAAATTAATTTTACTTCTTAAATGTGAATAAATGGAATGTCGCAGGTTTGAACCCGCGTTCTTGCAATCAGATGTCATTACAGAGATACCAACTGAGTTGGCTTAACGAGACCAATTTATTAATCCAGTGGTAAATGATGAATATTACATTGATGATGACATAAAATACTATAATAACAACATGCATCAATAGTATTTGAGCCTTATTCAGGGTTGGACAAGGATAAAGTCACCAAGACAAATCACTTTAGACCTCTCAAAGAAAAACTACTGAAAATAAATGCCTCTTTGTGGTCATGTCATGAATCCATGACCTTCTATTTTTATATTCTATAACTACTTTCAAAACTAAAGTTAAAGTAATCTTATCTAAAAGAAACATTGCAACAATAACAATAAGCCTTCTCCCACAAAATGGGACCAGCTTTATGGAATCAAAAGAAGTCATAATATTCTATCAAAAGTCATACTTTTATCCGACTCATTAATTTCGATATATTTTTATTAGTTTCTCTTATAAATTTTCTAGGTATTCCTCTATCTCTAGCAATTTGTCATAGGATTTTTCAATGATCAAAACAAATTTTTCGTTTTCCTTATTTTGTTTCTTTCCTTATTTTGTCATTTTAAGCTTCTAGAATGATGACATTTCAGACTTGTTAGATTCCATTAGCAATGATTGGTTAGCATGTAACCAACTTGCTCTATATAGCTGTTACGACACTATGCAATGAAGGCAACCATTATTGATTAAATCACCTCTCCTTCCTTAAAGCTTTCATTCATCTGACTTACTCTCCTTACTATAGAATCTACGAGTCCCATTTTGATACAAAATAAAATGATAGCAGAGATTCCATGAATTTGTGCAACATAAAGAACAACAAAGTAAGTTCCAAAGATAACATCATCATGACAATTGGCAGTTGATCATCATATTACAACTTTATTAACCATGAAAATCACTCTCCAGAACAGTTACAATTTGCAAACCCCCGGAAATTTTATTATATTGATTGTCTAAGAAAAAATAAAACAATCAGACGACAGGAAGAAAAAAAACAAACCACTTAGAGTGTTCGCTTTCTTCTCAACTTCATAATTGGGGAATTAGGAGCATCGCAGGAATCAGAGGAGAGGATTGGGAGTATGGATCAATTCCCTAAACCTACAATCGAGAATTGATCCTTCGATCAGATACAAGGAGTAATCACAACTCTAGAAGAGAATGAGAGGATTTATTGATTGAAGAGGGAGGAAGTATAGAGAAAGAAAGAAAGCCCAACTGAAGAAGAGAAGACAAGGAAGAAGCTACACAGAAGAATAAAAAATCAAATAAATAAAATGTTTTGTAAATTACTTTTTTAATTTTTGTTTGTCACCAAATAATTAAGATTTATTTAATATGATATAAATTTTATTTAGAAATATATGTAAATTTAAAATTAAGGATTAAATTATAAAATTAAGGATTAAATAAGTTATAATTCCATGTAAATATACTAAAATCTAATTTTAATCCCTAAAATATTTTTGTTTAAAGAATCTTCCTTGTAAAGTTTTTCGTCCCCATTTTTCATCCCTGCCGTCAATTCTATTTAATAGACGATGATATGGATGATGAGTTGGCATTTTTTTAATTTTAATGGTCATGTATTAATTTCCATCTGTGTATTCTAATTACAAGTCAATAATCCCCCCTTTTGATCATGTATTAATCTCCCCTTTTGGAAGCAGATGCTTACTTCATTCACCTTCATTATTTTTCTTGCCTTAATTCCTCTTCGTCTTCTCTATTTTTATTTGCAGTCTGAATTGAAGATTTCATCCTGCAAATCAAAATCGTCATCATTTAAGGAAGATTGATGTCGTATTCCATAATGGGTGCTTCAAAATCCATGAGCACTTCGTCGTCTTCTGTGAGATGCAGACGAGGAAGGAAGTGTGGTTGTGAAGCTCGTATGGTTTCATACGTATGTAAGAATTGTCGAAATAAAGGTAGGCTCTTCTTGATATGTCCTTTTTGGCAGAGTGAAGAAACTTGTGATTTATTTGTATGGGATGAAGATTTGGTTGAAGATGACAATATTGGTGTTGAACAGGTAAATGCTAACAAGCTAAAGGAACTGAAGATGGTTGAATTGATGAGAGAGTTGTATAAAGTGTAGGTGTTTAGTTATTGGCATGTATTTTTGGTAAAGCCAGGTGTGTGAATGTCATGACTGATGTCATAACATTCTGGTTTATTAGGTACTGGTTTATTAGGTACCTTTGCAGAAAAATAATGGCATACACTAGCTACTGTGTATGAGTGTGTATTTGAGCATTTTGCAAAAGATCACATTTATTGCCTTCTACCAAAATCAGTAAACAGGAATTCTGATGTCATAACAAATGTTAAGACATCTTGTACTGATCTAACAGTAGTGCAGTTTGGTTAATTCTGAGTTTTTTTCACGAATTTGGCTCATTCCTTCCAGAACAGAATCTCCCGTTGTCTTTGGGTTAACCTAGCTCAACCCTAAACTGGTTGATAAAGTCTTGTGACCAAGTCTTATGGTTAAACCTAATTAACCCTAGCTTTTTGTGGAAACCCTAACTGAAGAAACAGCTGCTATATATTCAACAGGACTGCTGTTTGGAAAATATCTCTTTGGACTGAAGATCAATCAGAAACTGTATAGTTTTAACTGCTGTAATCCAAGAAATTATCATTGTGATAAGTGACTTGGAATAGGTTTTGTTTGTAAGGGTTTTTGTACCACTCAAAGCTTTGAAGCAAGAGTGTTTTGTGTCTCTTGACTAAAGCTTTGAAGCAAAGTCAAGTTAGGTTTATGTATCACTCAAAGTTGTGAAGCAAGAGTGTTTGTGTTACTTGATTAAAAGTTATGAAGCATAATCAAGTGTATGTTTTGAAGAGTGTCTTCATTAATTCATTAGTCAATTGTTTTAAGTATC